GCCCCTGCTTGTTTCACCAAATGCAGGGCTCACACGCGTATCCCAACACGCCCTTTGACACGCTCCCACCAGTTGATCTCTTTATCAACTTATATTTCTTATCAAAGACTAAGGTCCATCCAGTACTGACTTTTTAACAGAAACAGGTTTATTGTTTACACGTGGTTTCAGGAATAATTCTTAAGTACATTTTTAAGGTTACACAAAGCTTCAGTATTTTACTTTGATCACTTCTATCTTATACAGGTTACACTCTGACTAATCACTCCTTAAACTCTCTCTCCACCTCCAAACTCCTCCTCTCTGTCTCTGACTGAACTCCTTCTCTCCCGGACTCCACCTCTCAGCAACCCCCTGGGCCCCACCTCACAACCACATTAACATACAACAGATGAATAATGCATAACTTAAGGTGGATGCCACATTCCTCCCCCCTTAAATATGTTTGTTTAGGAGGGGAAACCTAGCAGTTTGCGCTCATAAACAAACACCTAAGTACATGCAAGTATAACAATAACTTACCAATACTTATGCATACCTTAGAATACCATTTTCTCTCTATTATTATGTTTACCAAATCAAACTTACCACTTTAAACATCCGAGACAATTAATACAGTTAAAACATTTGCATTAATCACATTAATACAAATTACATTGCGTCACCTTCACATCAATAAGGCAACTCACCATTATTTTTACCATCATTCTACCAATTCACCATTATTTTTACCATCATTCTACCTCTCAGTTCATCAACATCCATAACTATACACAAACAGAACATTTAATAAAACATTACAAACTTTGTTTATCTACCCATTAGTTATTTGGTCTTTGAGACAAGGTATCAGCATCCACGCTCTGAGTCCCTTTTATGCTGCAGATTACAAAGTCAAAATCTTGCAGGTTCTATGTCCATTTTGCCAGTTTTTGTTAGTGGATTCCATAGTTTGCAGTCACACCAGAGGGAAGGGGTTGGTGCAAAGGACGAATTTCCTTCCCCAAATGTAGGGTTTCAGTCTTTGCAGCATCCGAACAATTGATAGGCATGCCCTCTTGATGGCAGACAAATGTCTCTCACCAGGTTGGAATCTCCTGATCAATCACTGGGTGTAGACTCTCGCTTGGCACAGCACACCTCCCAGATCCACACTTGACACATCAATGTACGCGATAAACTCCTGGTTGTAGTCTGGAGCAACAAATACTGATTTTGAAGTCCGCACTCTCTTCCAACGCTCAATAGTCACCTGGCACTCTGATGTCCACTGGACGTCCTCCACTTGCCATTTCCTGGTGAAGCCTGCTTTCTTTCTGGCTCGTGGCTTCAGCTGGAGAAAGGGTAGGTAGTTTCTTCCCCTCCTCCAGAACATCCATGGCTGCATTTTCTTTGTGATCTTACTACTCTTGCCTTCCTCCTCATCAACAAATTCACCCCAGGTACTTTTGTTGAGAAGTTCTCCCTATGTGGGGAACCTCTATCATGGATCACCTCCAAATTCACAGGCAGGTTTTTTTAAGTGCAATCTCAAGCACTTGGTTTATTTTAGATGCACTGAGCTTTTCATCTGGTTCTATTTCTTTTATTCTTTGGTTTGTTAGGTAGGGATTTGCCATGCAAGGTTTTAAGTGTTTTTGCAGCTGCAGACCTACGCATTGGCAAGGGGTCAAGATCACTGATGATGATGATAGCTTAGCCTTTGTCTTGTCAACCCCATGTCTGACAAAACTGCTTAACTTGCTGACCCATTCCTGGCCAGTAAAAGTTTTGAGCAGCCCTTTGTTTTGTACAGGAGACACTCATGTGTGCTCCAAACACATCCCTATGAGCTTTCTCCAAAATCTTCTCTCTATAGAGCCTTGTGGTGCGGTGGTTAAACCGCTGTACTGCAGCCAAAACTGTGTTCACGACCTGGGGTTCAATCCCAGGTAGCGGCTCACGGTTGACTCAGCCTTCTATCCTTCCGAGGTCGGTAAAATGAGTACCCAGCTCGCTGGGGGGGCAATGTGTAGCCTGCATAATTAACTTGTAAACTGCCCGGAGAGTACTTGAAGAGCTATGGGGTGGTATATAAGCAGCACGCTTTGCTTTTGTGCTTTTATACTTCACAGGGACATGTAATTGTTTGTGAGGTCCTCCCCCTCTATGAGGTGCCTTTAAAACATCTCTATATGTCAGGTTTTTATCAGCTATAAAGCTCTCCGGAAGTTCAGGGGTCAGTGGAATGGGATTCTCATTAGCTCTTCTAATACAATTATTTAAAGTAATATCTTCTTTCTGCTCCTTATCAAACAATGAATTATTAGGGTTTTTCAATATGACCACCTCAGCCGTTTCTGCTACCTCAGGGTTTTCCTCTAAACTGGCACATCCCAGGTCTGATTCAGAAGTTAGGGATTCCATTTTTCCCTCAGGGATTGTTAACTGCTCTCCCTGGGAATGTGTTACTCCAAAAGCACTCCGCACATGCTTAGTGAGATCTAATCCGATCAAAATAGGTGCTGGAATTTGGTCAGAAATTGCCACATCCCAAATTCCAACTCAGTCTCTATAGTTTATATTTACTTTGGCCATAGGTAAAATCACTGGAGTAGAACTTATTGCCTTGATTGTAACAGTTTGTTTTGGAAGTATTTATTCTTTAGGAACCACATCAGGATGACACAAGGTTATGTGGGAACAGGTAACAACAACCCTCACATAAGACTTATCATTAATAAGAATTTTCTCACCAGGGTTATGTAGTAAAATATTATCTGTCTTTATAAGGAAGCACTGAACGACTCTGGCCAGTGGCAGATCAGAATTTTCTGCTGTGCTAGTTGCCATGGAGACAGAACCATTGTTACAGCCTCATTCAGTGGCTTTCACAGGTTTGATGCAGTAAACCTTTTTGGTCTGACTATCATCTTTTCCATTTTTATTTTTATTGTTCTTCCTACAATTTGATTTTATATGCCCAAACTTGCCACAGTTATAACACTGTCTATAAGTCCTTCGATCACACTGAGAAGATCTATTAAACTTTTCCTCAGAGTTCATTTGCTTCTGCGGACTTGGCTCTGGCAACTTAAGTGAGGTACTAAGCTGGCTATCTTTCCCTGACATTTTACTGTTGTAATTTCTATTGAAGGGTTTCTTACTATTGGCCCAATTCTGCCTGTAAAATTTTACCTCAGAAAAGTTAGGCTCTCTAATCACAGTAATGGAATCAGCATATTCAGATGCCTGTAATACATTTTTAGGATTTTTGTCTTTGACTAAATAACGCAAATCCCCAGACAAAATGGAATAAAATTGGTCTAAACCAACCACATTCTTCGTTTGGTCTAGAGAAGTGACATTTTCATGTTCCCTCAATTTGTACAAACACTGAATCAATTTAGCCCCCAATTGGGCATAAGATTCTTCAGGCTTTTTGGTAAGGGAACGAAATTTTCTTCTCAGGTGTTCTGCATTTATGCCAAATCTAGAATATACCATTTTCTATAGGCCTCAAAATCTCTAGCTTGCTCCAGAGGCATCTGAGAATAAAACTCAACTAAATCCCCACTTATCTGAGATCTCATCATCCTTTCACCATCCTTAATCTCAAAGTCCCAGCACATGCTCTCAAATAAAATCAGGAAAGATTCAGGGCAATCTCCTTTCCTATATTGAGGAAATTTCTTTAGGTTGATTTTTGAGAGATTTCCCTCACTAAAGTTGTTGTTATTATTATGGTTATTTTGAGGACCTAATGCTAATTGTTTCATCTGTATTTCGAATTCCATTTCTCTTTGTCTTAATTACATTTGTCTGGCCTCAGCCCTCTCCTTTTCTCTAATTCCATTTCTTTGAGCTCTACCTCCTTAGCTTTCTCTTCAGCTCTGGCTTTTTCTCTAATTTCTAATTCCTTTACTCGAAGCCTGAATTCCTCTTCCAACTTCCATTTTTCAAAATCTTGGGAGCTTAGAAAACCTTGTTTTTCTGAGGCATTTTCATCAGTTTCCTCCTCTTCCACTGGAGCTAGAGGGTCTCTATTTCCCTCCACTTCCCAAGGTAAACTTTCTGCCTCACTACTCCCTTTTTGGCTACATTTGGGTGGTATGCTTAAGTCTGAGTGAATTGGTCTTTAATGTCTGTACTGTTTTTTAAAAAGACCTGTCTTTCTGCTGTTAATTCCAGTAACTATGTTGTAGCACTTCACTCAACCTTTTAGTTACTGTGTATGTCTGAGCTGTTCTTGCTCTCAGAGAGCAAAGTAATTTTATTTTCAAACCTCTGCTTTCATTTTCCTATCACCTCAGATCTGCTCTGACCCTGGCTTCCACTTTTTATCCACCAGTGCTCCCTTATCTCTCAGAGCCTTGGATTTCAAGCTAGCCCACTGGGTCTTTCAAATCCTGAGGTAAACAAAAAAGAGTTTTTCCTTTAGAACTGGTTCCCTATCTTTAGTTTTCCCAGATCTAGGTTCAGAAGCCCTGGCACTAAGATTTTCCACAAAAGCTCTAGCAGGTCATCCACTTCTTCACCACAGACCTCTGATTAAAGGCACCTACAGCTCCAGAAAATTCACTTTTAAACATTGGCTTCACTGGCTTATTTTGTATCCCACCGCTGAACACCAATTGTGACATTTACCTCGTGGCCCCTGCTTGTTTTACCAAACACAGGGCTCACACAAGTATCCCAACATGCCCTTTGACACTCTGCCACCAGTTGATCTCTATCAACTTATATTTCTTATGAAAGACTAAGGTCCATCCAGTACTGACTTAACAGAAACAGGTTTATTGATTACACGTGGTTTCAGGAATTGTAAGCACATTCTTAAGGTTACACAAAGCTTCAGTATTTTACCTTGATCACTTCTATCTTAATTAATACAGCTCACACTCTGACTAATCACTCCTTAAACTCTCTCTCCGCCTCCAAACTCCTCTCCTCTCTGTTTCTGTCTCTGTCTGAACTCCTTCTCTCCCAGGCTCCGCCTCTCAGCAACCCCCTGGGCCCCGCCTCACAACCACATTAACATACGACTTATGAATAATGCATAGCTTAGGGTGGACACGCACAGAGGTGTTACCACTTGGCTTTTCTCTCTTTTCTTCATGTTATAAAAGTCGACATAGGTTTATCTTGTATCGTAGCTCCAGGTCAAGGTTTTGCAGCTGTTTCAGGAACCCTCGGTTTGGGGAGATGGCTCGTTTCTGCAGAACTCTTTCCATAGCCTCTGCCAGGGGGAATTTCTGGTATATCATGAGGTATGCCAGAACCAAGGCTGCTGATCTACTTTTGCCTAAGATGCAGTGAACTAAGATCTTTCCTAGGTGGGAATATGATTAAAAAGTTAACAGGTATGAAACTGTCTAGAACTATTTTATTTTGATTTACATGTAAAAATTTAAAAGGAGGGACAAGGCCAAGATGGGTGCTGTTGCAGAAGTGAGTTGCACCTGCTTCTATGGCTTTTTCCCCCCCGACCCCTAAAGCAATGGCTTAGCATACTGAGAAAACCCTGTTTAAAACAAGTATTTTTAATTAACAGGTATGGAGTGTTGTGTCTGGCCGAATGGGAGTTGCAGCAATAGCTATTCTCTAGGAATCTGATGCAGAAACAACCAGTTGTGTTGCCAGTTTTTTTAAAAATGTGCTTCTGCTCTGATCTTTTTTACACTATCATTAAAAATAACTGTAAAATAAATATTCTAAAAATGCTTTTGATCTCCAGAGTTCTCAACATGCGAGGAAAGAACATGTATGATCTGAAGAGAAACCAGATTATCAAAATCTATATAGCCCTGATCCCAGTATTTTTTAACACAGTATTATTGGTGTTTCCCATAAAATGTGCTAAGTCAAAATGGGATTTGTGTGTGTGTATGTGTGTGGTTCGCCACAGCAATTTGCCTATATGCCTTGTTGCTGAATTTTAGTGACAGAGTGTGCCCGTGGCAGCCACTGAATATACTAAATTGCCCACCCTGTTGTTTTTTTAAGTCTCAAATAATGGCACTATCCCAATGGCACTTCTTTCACTTAGCTATGATAAATCCTATCCTGACGGTCTGAGGGTCACGGATTTGAATGAAGAATTGAGACTGTATACAGACCTGGGAAGCCATATTGTAGAACTATCATTGCTTTGACAGTTCATTTGCGATAATATTTAGATAGGACTTAAGATTCATAAATGAAATGAAATTTCAGCCAAGAGAGGCACTGACCTTTTGGAGTGCTTAGCACTTTGTGGATATATTGTGAGGCAGGGTGAAAATGAGTGCTTAGGTCAAAGTCTACAGAGTCTTCTGCTGCTATTCCGTGATAATGGAATTCTTTGCCGTAGAAGTCTTGGCTTCCTTTGCTTCCCCAAGCATTGTGTGCAGCATTCAATACGTGGGTGATGCCACATTTCCTTAGTTCTTCCTTGTTGTGTGCTATTACACTGTGGGAAAACAGAAAGCAAGGGTTAACAGGGTGGCTGAATCCTAGGCCAATGGCAGGACTGACTTAAATAGTGTGAATGCTAACTCTGTGCCTCCAGGCGGCAAGAATTCAAGATCTGTGCCATACAGCTTTCTTTCCCTGAGATGAAGCAAATCCTGGAGTTGATTGCATTTTAAGAGTTTTTGTAAAAAAATAATCTTTTAAATGAAACAGATAGGAAAAGAGTGTGCATTATTTTCAATTGGAAGCACAGTTGTTAATCCTGTGAGATTATTTATATCAGTTTCTGATTATTTATAACAGTTTCTAATAGAGAATAGCTATTGCAGCCCTGAGCATGCCAAACGCTTTAATATTCCTAACTCCATGTGATTGGGTTCGTTTAAATTTTGCGGCAGTTCCTGACTTTTGGCGGGAAATAACGACAGAGACTTGTCAGTCATGTTCAAAACTTCACTTTTATTATAATCTCTGGCTTTTAAATAATTATTTCAACTGGGTCAAAACATGATAAGTTAAATAACTATTTCAACTGGGTCAAAACATGATAAGTTGGGTAACGGGCCATAACTGGAAGAGGCCAACTGTCGCTGAAAGTCCGGATAACTCATTGGGCTGCTGGGCCAAAGTGTTTGTGGTCGGTGGGGTTCCGTAGAGGAGCGCTCCTCACCGCACAGATCGTGCCGCAGCATGGGTGCCTTGCCCAGTCTCCTTCCTTTGGTGCTTTGTTAAAGGTGGGGTCTGGTCTTATTACCTTTTTGCCTTGCCTGACCCCCCATGGGAAGACGATGACCGTCCACTCCTGTGTCTCATAAACTGTCTCTCCCTCTCTTTTTGGCTCTGGATCTGGTAATAACCCTCCAACTTTCAGGTTTGGGAAATCTCTCAGGAGCCTGTGCGTCTTTTCGTATTCTATCTTCTGTCTGTCACTCTCTTCCTTCCTTTTTCCTCCCTCGTTTTCAAACTGACTAGCCTCCTCTCTCCCTGGATACTTATACCCTCTTCCCAAACTGACATCCTTAGCTCCTCCCCTTTTCCTTTCTCCCCTTCTTCCACTAGCTTCCCTTTCATCTCTTCTATCCTTCCCGTCTTTTCTATTAAGATTTCCTTTTCCTTTGAAACCTCAGCTCTACAACATTCTCTTTCCTCTTTAGCCGCTTCTGTTATCAAGGATGGCTCACTTTATTTCAGCTCGCCTTCACACTCCAGCTTCACTGTCAGTTTTCCTCCAAAATTGCAACTGACATCCCCAATCCTCAAGAGAGGGAGACCAAAAAGACTGTTCCTCTGTACTCTCACACTGCCCAGTGGGTATCATTAGAAAGATTTAAGCTGTGGTTGTTGTGGTTTTTTTCAGGCTCTTTGGCCATGTTTTGAAGGTTGTTCTTCCTAACGTTTTGCCAGTCTCTGTGGCCGGCATCTTCAGAGGACAGCACTCTGTGCTCTGGTGCCCGAAAAACCCACAACAACCATCAGTCAGATCCTGGCCGTGAAAGCCTTCGCGAATACATTTAAGCTATAGTTGTTTAATCAGTTATCTTGAACCATTAGTGAGTTAGGTCAGCTTGACAAACAGGTTGGGCAGCATGATTGACATCAGCCTCCTTACTAGCTTTGCTAACAAGCAAATTAGAAATTATGTCAGAAAATTATGCAAAATACAATGGACATTTTTGCCTGTTACAATAAGTGATGGCATCGATTAACTACATCTTGTTACTAAAGCCACAAATTCTAGGAACAAGTGGCAAGAAAGAGTATGCTTTTAGAATAAGGGGCTCACACTTCAGAAGCTAGATTTCAACAAACTACACAATTCCTTCCTTCTATTAAAAAAAACTAGGACTCAAGATATCTCACAACAAGATTAGAAACTGTTATAAATAAATACACAAAGAATGGTAATACTAAAACCACAAATGAACATTTTATAATGTTACAATACAGTTTGCTGCTGATCTGTTCAGTTGGTTGCTGAGTATGTGTAAGGTAAGTATATACAAATCTGTAACTTCAAGTAACTGTAACTAAATAAATGTTTTTGTTCTTTCTTTAACAAAAGTCTCAAAGGAAGTTTTTGAGAGGTTAAGTGGCAGTTGATAAGAAAGGAGTGGAGTGTGGGGAAGTTGTAGCTATTCTTCTCCGTAGATATATATACCATGTTTCCCCGAAAATAAGACAGGGTCTTATATTAATTTTTGCTCCAAAAATGCATTACGGCTTATTTTCAGGGGATGTTTTTATTCACGTATAGGAATCTACATTTATTCAAATACAGTCATGTCATCTTCTGGTTGCTGCACAATGGTGGAGAGTGGGGTTTCACTTAACTAGGGCTTATTTTTGAGGTAGGGCTTATATTACGAGCATCCTGAAAAATCATACTAGGGATTATTCTCAGGTTAGGTCTTATTTTCAGGAAAACAGGGTAGCAAAAAGGAATTTTACCACAAAGTCAAAGCTCTGCAAACTTGCAAGCCTCTTTCTCAACAGCCTGTCAATTGCCAAAAGCCTGTGATAATGAAAAGGCCTTCCCCTGCTGACATAAGGACAGGAGGGATGAGGATGATTAGCCACACTCGGAAGGGAGTTGCACAGCCTAGCAGTAGCCCTCATGACTTGCCACAAACTGCCGTAATATAAGGGAAGCAACTCAAGAGCCATTTTGCTGCTGACCCACCATCCTCCTGATGGACATAGGACATCTTAACAACGGACCCAGACTCACTGGGGTCCTGTGTTGTAGCTGGAGCCGCAACCTGGCCTCCCGCGCTCCCCTGTGGCTCTGTGTAAGGGCGGCTGCCGCATGGCAGGCCACAAGGGAGCCTGGGAGCATGATGTCCAGTGAAGGGCTGTGCTGGCAACCAGGGATTGGCTGGTGCAACTGGGGGTGGGGCCTGCCACACCTTACTCCATCCCAGATAAAAGGGTGCTCCTAGGCCAGGGTTTGTGGAGGTTTCCCCACCTGTTCTGTGTTTAAGAGATATAGAGGTTAGTAATGGTTTGTGTTAGATGGGTGATCTGTTATTGCAACTCATTTTATATCTATGTCACAGCTTTGCTGGTGGTTTGGGAGCATTGGAGATGGATCGGGGGGGGATGATAGTGGGCAGGCAGGGTCCTCCCTGCTGCTATTGGTGAACCCCTTCCCTCTGGAGGGGGGTAGGTAGGGCCAAGGACCAGAGCTGCCCCAGTTTGGGTGACAGGGAGCCACAGAGTGGCATCCGCCCATGTGGTCTCTGAGGATATGCCATCCTGGGTAATTTCCCAGAGGGGTCTGGGAAGTCATGCACTCTTGTCTTCCCGATGGAAACATATCTGACTCCAGTGCTTAGCCAGGGAAACTGTGGCTGTAATTCAATTAATAAAGTTGTGGCCTTTTACTTCAAGTTTAACGTGTACAGTGTGTTTATTGTCTGAGGGGGGTAACAGGCTGGCTTAGCCAAAAGCCTACAAACAGTTGGTTTGAAGCAGGTATTGAAGTGCATATGTATGTCAGGAAAGGTTTAAGCAAAATGTTTAAGCAAGCCATAGGCTTTTAAATTTTCTTATTTCAACTGCAGTGCGTTGTGATATAAAGTTTACATTGCACAACATTCAAAAGATTGTGCACAACTGAGAATCATATGGGCCCTGCATATCTCTCACCTGAGATGTGCCTCCTGAGCTAAGCAAAAAGGAGTTTTCAAATACCTGGCAGGCTACCATATGTTTCTATTACGAGCTGCCATTTGGTGTTGTGAGTTGCATGTTGTATAGGCCTATCATAAAGCCCCCCCCCCAATAAAATCATCAAGACTATAAAATCATTTATTCTAAAATACTATGGATGTTTTCAGGTAATATAGTAATTTCTCAGCTTGGAATACAGAATTCTGTAAGGTTTTTGAATCTGTAGCCCTTTTGTGTTTTCCTACCAATTCTTCTGTGAACCTGTTCAAGTAAAAAATGGGAATGAATTTCCAATGGTCACTTGGTCAGAACTTGTCTGAGTAATCTTACATTGGCCATAGGGATTGGGATTTTACTAACATCAGGACTGTACCTTACATTCCAGCAGCTAACTGGCATTCTTACAGCTGTCTTCTTTGGAAACCGGATCTAATTATAACTTAAACAAATCTGAACTGCAATTTTGTTAATGCAATCTGTCATTCTTCAAAAGAGAAGATTTGGGTTAAAATGAACACACTTTATGTTCAGCCCCTCTTTTCAAAGGGAAAGAAGATGGCTATCCTTCTCTGTGTGCATGGGTGTGAGCATATGCATGCACACAAACATGCTCACCTAAAGCCCTTCATGTCCAAATGAAATTATAATTACATCTGTTCGCATACATTATCCCGAGACTTTGAAAGGCGTTCATCAGTGCCAAGCGATGCTAAACAGCAGTTCATAGCAGGACATGAAGAAAGCCCCATGCTAATGAAACCACATGGCAGTATTCATGCCAGCTGAATGTTAATTCTCTATATTGGAACTTCACCAAAAGCTTATCCAGATCATCAGTTCAAAGTGCCTTCTCTCTCACCAGCTTTTGCAAGGAAATTCTGCAAAACAGGATTCAAGGGCAATAGTATGCTATCTAAACATATATAATATCAATGGCTGATTTTGAGATTTCTTATACCAAGTTTAAAGTCCTTCCAGATGAAGAGCTCTTATTGCTACTAGTCAAAAAGTAGTATGTATCTACTTTGTTTTTTCCTCTTTAACATGAGTACACAGAAGTCACTTGGGGGGTTATCAAGGGCACCCCAAGTACTTTTGGTTGCCTATAGAGTTGTACAGCAACCTACGAGAAGGCCATGGAAGCAGCTCTTCACAGCTTGCAGAGGGCTACGTGAAATCCCTTCAAACCTGCACATTGCCTACACTTGCCCTAAAACACTGAACATGTTTCTTGTGTCAGGAGAATTCATAGGCAGTAGTTACAAATATACATCAGGAGCACGAAATCTCATATTTCTATTGATGCCCTATTGATTTCTTTAGATATATAATTTATTTGCCTGCTGTGGAATAATTTGTGAAGAGAAGGCCACACAGAGGATGCAATACCAATAGTGAATGTTCACTATACTGTAGAAAGAGAGAGCATACAACAGAGTGTTGCGGGTGAGGGTGATCAAGAAACTGGAGGCACTGTAGCAAAATTATTCAGCTCCTTCCTGTCATGACAAGTCAGGTCATGTGGTCCTGGAAAACCATGAGTGACCTGTACTGCAGGATGATTGATAGCAGTTGTGCATTGGAATAAAAAGTGGCAGGCTGCTAGGCCTAGCTTTGACTAGCTTTCTGTTCAGAAAGAAACCTGCCAGCAAGTACTGGGGCAAAAACAGGAAGCTTGTGTCTAGCTAGGCCTAGAGCTTTCCATGTTAGGCCTTTCTTCCAGGTGAGCCACATTTAGGTGTCTGTCTGTCATTTAACATTTTGTTCTCTTTCCTCATCTCTGATGAAGTGGACATGTTCATGAAATCTCACATTAAAATATAATAGTTTTTAAGATGCCACATGTTTTTGTCTTGTCTTGTTTCTTTGGATTTTGCCCGAAATGTCTGTCATGTAGAACTCCTAGAAGGGATGTTTATGGGATTTGTAGTAAAAAAAATCCAAAAATCCCATCCCTAATAGGAATACGAAGAAATTTTTCTGGGACAGAGGTCAGACTCTGTCAAGGTGAGCCAACGGTTTTACATCCATAAGTTATCTGAGAAAGCAGGTTTATTAATACATGTAAAAGGCTAAAATGCCTTGATTTCTACTGAGGCCCTTGTAGATACATTAGACGTTTATATGGCCTATTTCTGTTGTCTTCTTCTTGCATCTCCCTTTGTAATTCCATTTTTTTCTTCTACAGTAGCAACTTTGAGATCCATAACAGATCATCCCAGGAGTCTGAAGTGATCTGAAACCTACCATGTTTCCCCGAAAATAAGACAGGGTCTTATATTAATTTTTGCTCCAAAAATGCATTAGGGCTTATTTTCAGGGGATGTTTCATTTTTTTTCATTTATAACCATCTATGTTTATTCAGATACAGTCATGTCATTTTCTTCTGGTTGCTGCACAGTGGTGGAGGGCGGGGTTTTACTTAGCTGGTACTTATTTTTGGGGTAGGGCTTATATAATGAGCATCTAAAAAATCATACTAGGTCTTATTTTCAGGTTAGGTCTTTTTCAGGGAAACAGGGTATTTATCTGTGCTGCTGTTCCTGGCATCTGATTTGTGTCTATTCATTTTTTTTGCAGAGATTGTCCTCTTTGCTTTAAGTAGAAAGTAGAAAGTGTACTGCTGGCAGAAGATAGCATATATCACCATGTAGATCAGAGGTGAAATCTTCAATTTCATCTTGGGCCACATTGGCATTATGGTTACCCTCAAAGGGCCAGTTATATGTGTAAGACTATATGAATGTAAGAACAGGAGTGGGCAATAGCGAGAACTACATTTTCCAAGGTGCTGTATGCCATCCAAGCAACTGCACTTTCTGACTCTTCACTGCTTGGAATGCTGGGATGAGAAGTCCCGATGGGCAGATTCCCAGCATCCTTGTGGAGCATTATGGGTGACGAAATAAGTGCCTGTGTATTGTATACTGCATAGTAGCAGGCAACACTGCGAGGGCCACATGAAATGGCCCGGTGGGCCGGATTCAGCCTGCAGGCCTTGAGTTTGACACATGTGATGTAGATTGATCCCTGATATGGCTGACAATGCTGGGGCCCTTGATGGCGCTGCCAGTTGTCACTTGGTCTATTATTTATATATCTTCCCTTGGCCATGGGGACATGTATTAGTGTACTAGTTATGTATTTGGACTCCAGTGTCTGTGGAAGTGGAGTCTGATCCACAAAAGCTCACACTATGACAAAACTGTTGGTCTTCAAAGTGCTATATTATTTTGTATGGGTTTTTTTTTCTTTATTTTTACTCCTTATGCCAGCATGCTAAAACAGACTAACATGGCCCCTTCGCTGGAAATTATTAGTACTATCATTGATTCAAAACTGTACCATGATGGGATCTCAACCAGGTCACAGTCACAGATCAAGCAGAGTTGTTAGCTGCCTGTTCATTAACAGAATGGCTTTTCAGTTGTACATGGTGAAATGTGTTGTCTCAAGAAAAATCCTGCAAAAGGATACAGCTAGTCATCGGCAACACATTTTAATACGGACATCTTTCATTTTCCTAACTGCTTAGCCTGTCCATGTGGTGTTCAGTGAAGGTAACTGAAGTGACATGCTTGATCAGGCCATTGTATTTTTTAAATAAACATTAAACACTACTTGATAAAAAAATAATAATACCTCAGTTACACAGATGGGACTTATGTGCACCTGCTACATAGTGACATTTTGTTGAATACCAGCAGTTGTTCCTGTCAGAGGAGGCAGTTAGGGCGAAAAGAAGTCCCAGTGGGTTGACTGTGTTATTATTCTGATCAGTTCTTTCAGTAGCTGTCTAGATGTCTGAGGATTCTGATATCCTTGTTTATAGAAGAAACGCCATATAATGTCAAAGTTGTCAGTATCTTTATTTCCCTTAAAAAAGCTGTTGAAGGATGCTTTCTGCAAATTGAGTCATGTCATTCAGTAGGTGGGCTGAGTGCTTTCTTCACCCAGTTCCACTACAGAAGACAAAGTGAGAGGGGAAAAAAATCCCTGGATCATTCTTACACAGAAGTCGTGCTCTGCTTCTGATCCCAGAGTGCTTCAGTCCCTGCAATCAGTTGGGGAGCAAAGACAAGTTGAGCTCATTTAGCAAACCATCTTGCCCTTCTGAAGTCTCTAAGGCAGGGCAGATTGGAGCACCGTGGACAGTCTTTCTCTCAGATAAAATGGAACTTTCCCCACCTTTTATGAAGGCATAAAAATCATGTCAAGGTAATTTAAAGGTCTGATCAGAATAAATTATATTAATGAGCAGCCATGATGAACATATGTGTTAAAACTGAGTCATGATGACTCAGCAGTGCTGACTCATGGATGATGCAACACGTAATATGATTGGACACAAGCAGATCTGTATGTGTATATATGTGTGAGATGAACAGTTGATGTATCTTCCTGCTTGGTGATGATTGCTACCTGTTATGCTGCCAGACTGAACTACGGTAAATACCTTGTAAATACACGTTGGTGGAGGAGAAGCTGCTGGTGTGAGCGTGAGTTATTCTGGACTACCTGGACTGCTAAATACTCTGCTAAACCGCGTTTTTGCGCTAACAAATCAGCTAACCTCTTTAGTCATATTCTGACAAATGTTTAGCATCTGCCTGCTATTTTCTGCAGCACCTGTAAAGGACTGGAGGAACACTCCAACTGCAGCCTGTAGCAGCCAGTCCTAGGTTCCCTGAGTTTTCTGCCACCAGCATTCAGGTCTCTTGACAGCCTAGCTGAGTATGTGCTCTACACCAAGGGCCGCACATCTAACTTGAATGGAATTGTGGTTGTTCTGTCTCCCAAGCTTTCATACTGCCAGTTGATTCCATAAGCCAATACGAATACACCAGGCTTTAGCAGGTGCACAGAAGGCCTTACTTGAACCCACCAGTGACCCATGCACATGAGGTCAAGTCAGTTTGTTAGTCTGAAGATTAGCCGTACAGCTTGCATTGTCTTGCCTCTGTGAGTTGTGATTCGAGTTGGAAGCAGGTTAATGTTACAGACTGCTGACTGAGGCTGTGTCTTTCTCTGTGCGTGAGAAATCAGACTTCAAGGGAATTCCATGCTTAAATCCTGGAGACCAATCACTAAACAAAGCAAGCTAATCTGCATAATCCCAGGAACAACAGTAGCCAGTGCTGGGGCACTTAGATGCTCACATTGGCTAGCAATCACTACCATGACATATTTTTCAGATATGGTAAGAGACATAGAAATTGTTCAAATAAACAAATAACCCCATTTTTTTCTGGGGGCAAAAACCACAGGATTATTTATCTTCTTTGCTCTTTGAGAGAGAACATGGATATTTGGGCTCATTATATATAAAATAGTACTGTCTATGCCGATTATCCTTTCCTGTCTTCCTGTCAATGGTACTTAAGAGTCTCATAAAGTGCTTCCTGTCTTGAAAACCATTCCACAATTCACAATGTTGAAAGGCAGAATAAAAAAACAGTCCTAGTGCCATGCTTTCTTCAAGCTCTAACAAAAGAACGCTGCGTTGTAAAATCAGCTTCCTTGGCAAAAATTCTTTATTCTCCACCACCACCACATTAAAGCAATAATTTTGCACCAGGTAACACTTACATGCTGCCTATGTAAAGATTGGGCCACACTTCGTCTACCTCATTTAATTCCATCCTGCAGCTATCCACAGCATGCTCTAGTTCTTCCACAGAGGACATAGCAGATTGAAGGATGTTCATTTGCCGAAGGTGGCAGTCATCTCTTCCCCAGAAATGGATCCTTTGGCTGTCATGTGGTTTGGTTGTCAGTCTGCTCATACCTCCTCCTTGCTGAAGCTTACTGAGCTCCATTTACTTTTTGACATTTGACAGCGAGAAACAGGTGAACATCTTGCAGTACCTCACTTGACATCCCTTCCCACCGCCCACGTGGGTAATGGGTATGAGAACAATCTTTGCCGAGTCACAGCAGCAAGTTAACCCCAGAGAAAGAAAGAAAGAAAAATAAAAACATATTTTTACTGTTTAGTGATTCATAGAATCATAGAATAATTGAGTTGGAAGGGGCCTATAACACCATCGAGTCGAACTCCCTGCTCAAAGCAGGAATTTCTTTAGATCCAGTTAATAAGTACACTTCTCTCTCCAAAATAAGAAAGGTGTATCAGTGCAGTTCAGAAGCAGTTATAGGCAGCTGTTATGGGCAGCTGTCAGTGTTTGTCCGTGAATCCAGATCTTATACTCAGAACCTCAGAACTTGAGGGTCGAATTTGGTGACATGAATGCAGGAGATCTGTGTTCAGGATGTTTCACTTTAAAAAACAAAAACAAAAAACAGGTCCATGAAACAGACTAGGGAAGTGGTGCTGTGTGTGTGTGTGGGGGGGGTGTGGGGGTGTTTAACAATTTCCCCTAATATTATTACAACAGTTAAAATCTATTTATACCCAGCCACTCCAAAAATTGTTATTAACTCCATATGGGAAAATATATAGGTTCCACAGTTTTTATGACCAGTTTGTACTTTGAGGCCTCTGTACACTGTTCAAATGCCAAGGGGAATGACAGAGTACAACATTGGCCTCTGTGATTGGCAGGCAGTAGGAAACTTTCTGATTACTGTAGTTGGTATTGAGGGTTGGCTACATCTGACATGAATACCAAGAATTTGATCTTCTGCCCCCTGACAGCAGAACAGTATGTTCTGCACTATGATTCAAGCCCCATCTCCAACTTCATGCTCAAGCAGAAATCCCTACATGAGCTGCAACAGTGAACTACAGCAGTGAATTATAGGAACACTGTTTTCAATATCATCATTCCAGGTCTGGATTTGGATGCAGCCCCTCTGGTCATGAATGTGTGCTGTAAGCAGCTACCCTAGCAGTGAATGGAGAACTCTTGAAACAGCCATTAGAATCATTTTAGTAGAGGCAGCTGTGTTGGTCTGTTAGCAAAACAGGTAAAAATGAAAAAAAAAACAGACAATCTATTTCAAAATGCTTAATTTACTTGGACACTTTGCGCATGATCTGAAAGTTGTCATTCTGGAGAAGAAAAATTACAGGACAAGACTCCTGAGAGGGACCGTTGAGATATAGATATGCTGAAAACCCATCTAAGTGGACTGAGTATAAGCCAAGGCTTGTTAGGACATTATCAAATGTAAATACTGTTTTGCATCTGCTGGAATTCCCAGGTATATTTCCTTATTAAGTAAGCGGTGCCACCTCACAAGTTCCATTGGTGATTAAAGATACACATTATCATATTGTTCTTGATTGTTATCTGTAGTAGCCTTAGCTTAATATAGCCAACAGTCATTGTCATTGTGTACAGAACAGTGCTTCGTGGGAGGGGAACTGAATATCCTGTATTCCAATTTGCTTCCTCCGATATATGGAGTGAAATATTGAGCCACAGGCTTATGTAGTAATTCACACTATGGGGATGAAGAGGGATATAAGCACAGAAAATGAAATTTCAAATTGACAATAGTGATTAACACTAGTAATTAACTTTGAGAGTGTAGATTACATAACCTTCCTGGCCATAGCTAGAGTAATTAACTGTCCTCCATGTCAGCAGTTGTTGTCTTTGAATGCAAATATGTTGATTCAGCAAGTGCCTTCATTTTTTCCTGAATAAGTGTCTAATTCTAAGGAGTCTAACAGCGTCAGGAGTGCTTCAGACTTTTCTGTGTTGAACTATGTGAAAGTTTCCTGACTGGGCTATATCCTTCAGAATAGCCTGAGGGATGAAGAGGTTTTCTGCCTCAGCAAGTCTAAATCTGTATCAGAAACAGATTTTGCACTATCATTAATCTGACCCCTTTTCTGTATCTGATTTTGCCCAGCCAAAAAAAGAGGCCTCTCTCCTTTTAAATGCATGAACAATGTTGCATAGGAATTGGGTAATAAATTGTAATGAAATATTAACGTATTCATCCTCATTAATTCTGATAAAGATCTTTTGTAATAGTATTTTAATGATGAATATTGGCACATTTTTCCATTTTAGAGGAGTTTCTTTTTGTCTTATTCTTAATATTTCTAAAAGATGCCATGAAGAAGGTTTAAGGAATTACTGTATGCCCTGAGTCATCAAACCAAGCAGGAAAGGTCTTGGGAGTTCCTTTCTACAATAAATACATGCTTCGTTCTTCTAGACAGCTATTCAGAATATTACACAGAGAATCAAGATTTGTAATCAAATTGCTGGGACATAATAGATTTCTCTTTAAAACCATTGTGGTAGAATAGATGGAATATGGAATATATTATATGGACCAAGGAGGTCTACATTTAAATCCCTGTTCAAATAAATATGCTTGGAGACGTTAGGCTGATTTCTGCCTCTCTAATCTCTGCCCCATTGCATGGGACTTGTTGGGAAGATAAATCAGGCAACATTATATGTCCTGTCCTGAGTCCACAGCAGGTAAGGTGCAGGTAAATATGATAATTATTATAAGATATTTAGCCTGGCTGTGTCAGAATTTTGTTTTGCTTTGGTTTGTTTTTTGGCCACTGTTTTCTCTTTCTCTTTTGTAGTTGAATGGGAGGTGTGTTCCCAAGACCATTCTTCTTCTACCTTGGAGCTTTTAAAACAGGCATACAAAATGTGGGTTTATATGGTGGCCTTTTCCAACATTTCCATACATTGACCAAGCTCCTGTTGTGTTCATGTAAACCAGGTCACAAGTTTCAGTCCATTGTTGTTGTTGTTTAGTTGTTAAGTCGTGTCTGACTCTTTGTGATCGCATGGACCAGAACCCGCCAGGCCCTCCTGTCTTCCACTGCCTCCTGGAGTCGGGTCAAATTCATGCTGGTCGCTTCGGTGACACTGTCCAACCATCCTGTCCTCTGTCGTCCCCTTCTCCTCTTGCCTTCACACTTTCCCAACATGAGGGTCTTTTCCAAGGAGTTTTCTCTTCTCATGAGATGGTCAAAGTACTGGAGCCTCAACTTCAGGAACTGTCCTTCCAGTGAGCACTCACAGTTGATTTCCTTCAAAATGGATAGTTTTTTTCTCCTTGCAGTCCAGGAGACTTTCAAGAGTCTCCTCCAGCACCACAATTCAAAAGCATCAATTCTTCGGCGCTCAGTCTTCTTTATGGTCCAGCTCTCACTTCCATACATCACTACTGGAAAAACCATAGCTTTGACTATGCAGACCTTTGTCGGCAAGGTGATGTCTCTGCTTTTTAAGATGCTCTCTAGGTTTGTCATCACTTTCCTCCCAAGAAGCAGGCCTCTTTTAATTTCATGGTTGCTGTCACTATCTGCAGTGATCATGGAGCCCAAGAAAGTCAAATCTGTCACTGCCTCCATATCTTCCCGTTCTATTTACCAGGAGGTGATGGGACCAGTGGCCATGATCTTGGTTTTTTTGAAGTTGAGCTTCTGACCATTTTTGGCGCTCTCCTCTTTCACCCTTATTAAGAGGTTCTTTAATTCCTCCTCACTTTTTGCTATCAGAGTGATATCATCTGCATATCTGAGGTTGTTGATATTTCTTCCTGCAATCTTAATTCTGTCTTGGGATTCATCCAGTCCAGCCTTTTGCATGTAATAGTCTGCATATAAGTTAAATAAGCAGGGAGACAATATGCAGCCTTGTCGTACTCCTTTCCCAATTTTGAACCAATCAGTTGTTCCATATCCAGTTCTAGCTGTTGCTTCCTGTCCCACATATAGATTCAGTCCATTTCTTGCTGCTAAATAAAGAGACTGTCTCATACTTCTCATGGGTGGCAGAGTCCTAAGAATCATGGTGGTTGCTCTTCTTTAACAGTGAGGAGCAGACCAAAACTTAAGACTTTGCTTACAGTACATAACAGTGATTTCAGTCACTGTATTGATCAGCATATTAGTTGCTGTAATCACTGTGCATTGGTTCTTGATTTAACAACTAGAAAATTAATATTAAAAAAATGAAAACATTCCATGTCTCAAAAAATATTCTTTCTTTCTGATCATCAGGCATTTGGGGCTTTCTTGTTGTTGTTTTGTCTTAATTGAATGTCCAGATTTCTCAGTTGTTTTAGAAACCCTCGATTGGGGAATATCCACCGATGGCTTTTCACGGTCTGAATTGCTTGAACCAAAGAGAAATGATGATAGATCATGAGATATGCCAGCACCAGGGAAGATGACCGACTTATCCCGACTGCACAGTGCACTAAGATTTTAGCTGCAAGTGAAAGTGGAAGATTAGCAAAACTTTTGATGATCTTTAAATATAGCATATACTCCCAAAAAAACTACATGGAAACGGAAAAATAAAAACTAGTACATGTGACAGTTGTCCTTTCCAACCTGAGCTAGCATGGCCAGAATCAAAGGAATACTGCTCTCCTACACCTTTAATAGTTATGTAGAGTAGAGTATTTCTGCAAATGTACTCTGCATGAGAAATGGCACCTGCTAAAATCCCTCTTCTCTGCCAAGGTGTAGGAGCTCTACAGTCTTTTGCACTGGGTCATCCCAAACCCATCAAATGTAGTAATACTGAATAATGTTTGCCACTACTCCTATTCAAGCTGCAGACCCTTGGCACTTCACAAGTTGTGTAAATGTACTGTTTACCCAGTTTTGTCTGGACATAAATCCCCCACAATTCAGCAGAAGCAGATATCTTGGAAAATCAAATCTTTATCCAGTACTGCGGGGTCTTGACTTAAGAACGGCTCGAGTTAAGAACATTTTGACTTAAGAACCACTCTCATAGGAAAATATTGACTTAAGTACTTAGATTTGAGTTAAGAACTGAAAAAAACCCACGTGGGAGGCAGGGAAAGTGCAAAATGTGAACTTTCAGTTAACTGTTGGCCAGTGAAAAGGGTGCCTGTCTGCTTCCTCACTCCTCCCAGCGTTTAGAGAGTGGATTGGGAGACACTCTTCGGACTGCCTGGTACTGTACTGCCTGGACTGTATTTTCCCTGCCTTCCCTGAACCTTTCTTGACCTAAGAAAAAAAAGAAACAAAATATCCCCCTCTAGTGGTCGAAGGCAGAATAGCAGCTTCCCATTAGTTTCTATGGACGGAAAAGAGCAGATACGGATCAAATGGTTTTCAATGCATTCCTATGGGAAATGCAGATTTGACCTGAGAACTTTTTGACTTGAGAACCGCCTTCCAATACGGATTAAGTTCTCAAGTCAAGCCCCCACTGTATCTCAAAATTTTAAGTCACATGTAACATTAGTATCTCAGAATTTCAGTGCTAACTTTTTTTTAAATTGTAGAGTTTGGAATTAAATTTCAGCTTGGGTGTGAATTGCAGTTTTATGTGTTCAGAGAAAAAATATCTAGACAATATTTGATATACTTATGTAGGTAATGAGGGTTTTTAGATTAATTCTCAAACAGCATCTCCCAAGGGTCATCATTACCCAAGTTTCTTTGTTTGCTAGTAATGGCAATGAGAACCACAAAGGGAGAAATGAACTACAGTACTGTGTTCCTGCTCTGACCAGAAGAAGCAGGAGCCAATAGGCTGGTAGGAAGCAGGCATCTGTGCCTCTGACATATACAGTTCAGAGGGAGATGGTAGAAGTCCACCTCTTCCCATAAGCAATAGGAATACATGAAACCCTCTCAAGAAGTCAAGGTTTCTATGTGCAAGTAAGAAAAGGAGGAAAGGGTTAGTATTTGTGTATAAGGAAAGGGAAACCAGAAATGGGCATGGATTTGGGAGTTACTGGTAAAAAAGGCAAAGGAAAGGAGAAGCCAAGGAAAATGACTGTTTCCCCAAAATGAAGATAGTTGAGAAGGAGGGAAAGGACACAGAGGGTTTTGTTATCTATTTCACTCCATCTTCAGTCACAGGAAGGCATCATGTAAATGGAAGAACTGTCAGTTCATTTTTAGCATCCATTACTTCAGGAAGATTAGTGCTGGATTAGCACAATATTATCAACCTTTTATGGATCAGAGTGATTTCCTACCTCCTGGAGAAGTTAAAGCTTTATGTATAAATTCTGCTGCGGGGTAAAAATAGGGACTCAAGTCGAAGTCAGGAAGGTCGTAGGCTGGTACACCGTGGTATTCAATGGTAGTGCCATAAAATTCATGGGATCCTTGGCAAAATATTCTGCCATGGGCAGCATTTAAAACGTGGCTAATGCCCATTTTCCATAAGCCAAATCTGTTGTGGGCTGTAACACTAAAGAAAAGAAAAACAAAGTATAAGGCAGGAGGACAGGTAGGAAGCATACCTAGTGTGGTGTAGTAGATAGACTGACAGACTAGGACTCTGGAAACCAGGGTTTGAATCCCCAGTCAACCATGGGAATTTACTGGATGAGTGGAACTGGTATAACCACTCCTTAAATATGTCACTCACCTTGAAAGCCTTGTTGGGGTCTCTGTAAATCAGTTCCAACTTGACAGCACATATTAACAACAATAACAACAGCAACAGACAGGTAGGAAAAGAGTCCTGATTCCAGGCTTTTTCTTAGGTTTTGGATCCTTTCACATTTTATAGAGAAACTATCGCACATTAAGGAAAATCAAATCTCACACCATGAATGACTATCCAGCACTAAATCAGAGAACATCCAAAACATTATGTGCGTGGTTATATTTGGAAATGTTGAGTGCAGTAATGAAAGCTAGAGTAATCTTTTATAGCTAGGCTGAGTCCTCAGAGCACAGCGCAAAGCCTGAACACGGTGAACTGGCAACTGAGTGCAGGCTGACTGTTAGACTTAGTGATATCAGATTGTGAGTCACAGTCAGGCTTTATAGGACCTGGGAGAACTTCCAAGAAAAACAGACATTGCTCCAACAATAGTTGATGCCCTGCTAAATTCTTCAGTGATACAGCAAGCCTGCTGAGTAATCAAAACCAAAACCATGATTTTTATTTTTTTTTGCAGAGTAATCAAACACCAGTACAAGAGCAATGTTAACTTGTGGATTCAGCCTTTAGATTTATTACCTGAACCTACCTCTTTCTTTATAAAAGAAATGTGTCCACGCATCCTAAGAAAAGTAGAAAAGTTTTGTTTATTAGGGAAGTATTCTTTTTATAGGAAAGGTGATAGGCCTAGTTTTAAAGGTGCAGTTTTCAAGAGTTTATTACTGCATCACTTCATCTATATGTTCTATAATACAACCATCCTCCCAGTTTGCTCCATTCTGGCAATGAAAACTTGTTTTCCCACTGTCATTACTGATGCTCTCTGCTACTTTATGTACAGCCAGTCTTTCAGGACTGCCTTATGATGTTTAAAATAATTTCTCAGATGAATGCAGCTACTGATTTAGCAATGTATCCGCTTTTTTTTTTAAAAAAAGCCAAAACATGTACAAGTAATGTGCTCCTAGAAAAGAAAAATAATAAGTTGATTTCATACGTGTAGCTGCCAAAACTGGTTTTAGTCACCAGAAATAAATCAGATTTATTTTCAATCAAAGGTGAATGTGACTACTGATTTATATATCACCTGATTAACTACCGATATTTAAAAAGTCAAAACACTCTAGCCATTATCAGATGATGCCTGCATAGCATCAGATATATCTGCCCACAATGGCAAGGAGGAGAATCTGCTTTTTTTAAAAAATGAAATATTCAAGGGCCCCACACTTTGTGCTAGAGTCCAGTAGGCACAGAATGAAAGACCATACATTATTAATGCCTTATCAGAGCTTAATTGAAAAATGTATTTCTCAGAAAGCAGGATTCCATAAAATATTAAGATGCCTTCCTAACATCACGTCTGCGTAACAAAGTCCCACTGATTTACACTGAGCTCTCCTGATTAAAATGGCGACATGTTCATGGCAACTAGTTTGGCATCCAACCAATGAAAGCAAGTGTTCCTTGAAAGTAGTATTTGTTTCATTAGTATTTACTCAGCTTCATTCCTTACACTGGAGGAACTCCGAATGACTGCTAAAGATATGCTGAACAATTCCACAAAGGGTTACTTACAGATCTCCCAAGAAAAGATTAGGCCAAACTTCGTCAACATGGTTACAGGAAGGCCTCCCAGTATTCAAGAGCTCTTCCAACTCCTTGACAGTGGGGGTCTCCACTGGGGATATTTCAGGGCCTTTGAGTCCTTTGGAAAGTGAGTTGCCCTCTTCAGCCATCACTGTTGTCACCAAAGCTACAACCTCCTTCTGAAATCTGAGAAAAGGAACCTGGCTTGCTTTTTTATTTTTTTACTCTACTGCATAAGAATTTGCAGTTGTCATTTACAATCGATTTGCGATGACAGGTGCTGGGTGGCAGCAAGGCAGGGAGCCAGTTAAAGCAAAGATTGCAAAAGGAGTGCAGACTCTAGCCTTCCTTGAAGGAAAGCCATCACTGGGTGATAGCCGTTGCAAAAGTTTAACGAGCAGAAGAGCACGGGAAGATTATTTCTGATAGACAGGATTATCTTGTCCCTTGAGCAGAAACGCCTTTCCCTTTCAGCTAAACACTCTTTATGCTGCATGGTATGAATTGTCCTTTGGCCTTTATGAGTTTTCTCCCTGGAGCCCTCCCTGGTTGTAAAGCTGAACTAAAAAATCCTGGAGGATTGGAACCTACAGCTTTTAATGAGTTTATTAACAAAGGCACTGCTGAGAAACACTGTGTATGTAACCACTTACATTTTGTATTCTGGGAAAGAGTTCTGTGACCAAAGGGGATGTCAGAATGTAACTGGTAAGGTCGGAGGTCTTCTACTGATATTGTGTTGCACCAATTTTTACTGGTAGCTGCTTGGTGACGAAAGGAAGAGGAAGGCTAGGTACAGTGGTGCCTTGACTTATGAGCGTCCCTACTCACGACCATTTTGAGTTATGACCAGCTCCAGCCGCAAAATTTTGCTTCTACTTGTGACTGGAGTTTCCACATATGAACAGAAAAAGGCAGGGGAAAAAGGCAGAAAATTCAAATTTCTAACTGCAGGTGGCGACGAGGCTGCTTCTTTGTAGCTCTTTCACCCCAGCAGTTAGAGAGTGTGCATCGTTGTTATAGGCTCAGGACTGCCTCCTTCTGCTTCTGAGTGAAGTGTGTGTGTGTGTTTGGAGGGAGGCTTCAAGCTGCCTGGTAAGATAAAGTGCTGTTTTCTGCTTTTTAAAAACTGTTACCGGTGTTTTTGCAGCATGGTTTTGAGCTGGGGGGTTATGTTTCTGTGCTGTGTTGGGTCTTGGGGGGGTTTGTTTGTTTCCTCCCCATTTCCAATGGGTCTTGGGCTTTTTATTGCTTTTTGAAGTGTTTTCCCCCATTTCTGATGGGTCTTGGGGGGTTTATTTGTTTTTGTCCACCCCATTTCTGATGGGGCTTGGGTTATTGCTTTTTGGAGTGTTTTTTCCCATTTCCGATGGGTCTCAGGGGTTTGTTTGTTTTTTGGCTTCCCCTCCCCCATTTTTGTTGCGTCTTGGGGGCTTTGGTTGCTTTTTAGAGTGTTCCCCCCATCAGAAATGGGGGGTTGTTTGTTTTTTGGCTTCCCCCCATTTCCAATGGGTCTTGAGGGTTGTTTGCTTTTGGGGGGTTTCCTCATTTCCAATGAGTCCTGCATGCTTCCCTTGCTTTTTCCTTTGTTTTCTTTGCATTTCCAACTGCCCCCCTTTGTTCTCTGTGCATTTCTGAAGTTTGTTTGTTTCCTCCCCATTTCCAATGGGTCTTGGGCTTTTTATTGCTTTTTGAAGTGTTTTCCCCCATTTCTGATGGGTCTTGGGGGGTTTATTTGTTTTTGTCCACCCCATTTCTGATGGGGCTTGGGTTATTGCTTTTTGGAGTGTTTTTTCCCCATTTCCGATGGGTCTCAGGGGTTTGTTTGTTTTTTGGCTTCCCCTCCCCCATTTTTGGTGCGTCTTGGGGGCTTTGGTTGCTTTTTAGAGTGTTCCCCCCATCAGAAATGGGGGGTTGTTTGTTTTTTGGCTTCCCCCCATTTCCAATGGGTCTTGAGGGTTGTTTGCTTTTGGGGGGTTTCCTCATTTCCAATGAGTCCTGCATGCTTCCCTTGCTTTTTCCTTTGTTTTCTTTGCATTTCCAACTGCCCCCCTTTGTTCTCTGTGCATTTCTGAACTGCTTCTTTTGTTTTCTGTGCATTTCCAATGGGTCTTGCACGCTTGATTGCTTTTCCTCCCCCCCCCACTTCAGCCTGAAGGGATTAATCACATTTCCAATGAATCTTGCAGTGTTTTTTGTCTGTGTGATTTTTTTCTTCTGCCGGAACGGATTAATTGCATTTCAATGAATTCCTATGGGAAATAGTGCTTCAACTTACGACCATTTTGAGTTACGTCCATCTTCTGGAAAGGATTGTGGTCATAGATCGAGGCACCACTGTATTTCTTTTGTTAATCTCCAGCTATTCTCAACAGTGGCCATTTGACCCCCTGGCACATTTGAAGGGGGCCACAGATTGGAAACAATTCTTCATACACCACCTTACAAGGTTCATTATTCAATTTACACAGTCCTGATCTGGCTTGTATTTCTTTCATACTGCCTTTATTGCCGTGGCGAAAAAATGTTGAGAATAGCTTAAATAATTGTATGTTGTCAAGTCAATTTCCTTGGTAGAGAGTACTCAGCAGTGGCTTACCTTTTCCTTCTTCTGGGGGCATCGTGGGACTGTGAAGCTTGCCCAAGACAACACAGCCAGTTGGAGATGGTGATGTGAGGTGAGGACTGAGAAAGCAAAGGTTTGAGTCATCACCTGCTTTATGACATATTGCTGGGGAAGAGCAGACAAAGGGAGCAGGTGCCAGTGTTATGTGAGGAGATGGCTATGTGGAAGAGTTATCAGAAGAAGGACAAAGTAAGTGGGCTTCAAAGTCAGCTCAACTCTCCAAGCAGCCAGAGGTACAACTGGAGGAACTTTGGCATCAGAGAAAGATTGTGCCAGATTTACTGGGGTGCAGTTTAATGAATTTGGCCTGGGATTAAAAACCACCTAAAAGACTTTGTCAACTACAGTGGCTCTTGAGTCTTATAAATTATCATTGACAGAAATTCAGTAGCAAGTCACAAAGTAGGCCCATTGACTCAATGGAACTTACAGATGAGTTGATCCACCAACTCTCCACTGTTTCAAAGAACTTACGCTAGCTGTGACTTACTATTGGATTTTGTCCAGTTAAGTACTTTAAAAAAAAATCAAATTATGTACTTAATTGTCTTCTGCCATTCCTTTAAATACTCTTATTGAATAAATCACACTGAGTTTTCCATTATTGTACATCTCTTCTATAAGACAATCATACTAAGTTGCAATGAGATTTCAAAGTACCATATTTTTTCCGTGTATAACGCTATACTTTTGTCTAAAATCTTTAGACTAAAATTGAGGGTCATCTTATACATGGAAATAAGCTGAGGAGAGAACAAAAACAAGTGGAGGGGAAAGAAGGGATCAAAGTGATCCTGCAGCGCTTTAATCCCTTTTCCCCTACACTTGCTAATCCCCACTTCGGTTTCTTAATTTTGGATTAGAAAAGTCTTATACATGGGGGCATTTTATACACAGAAAAATACAGTACATCAAGAGAATTGGTGGCAACAGGCAAGTTGGGAAACACCAAGATATTGTGGTAGGGAGTTCCACAGGTTCTAAAACAGAAATATTAAAAATGCAGAAATATCTAAAGCAGGGGTCTCAAACTCAATTTACCTGGGGGCTGCTGGAGGCAGAGTCTGGGTGAGGCTGGGCTGCATCAGATTTTCCGCCAAGCGGAGCAAGAGCCCGAGGAAGCCGCCCGGGAGTTTCCTTAGCCCGGCTGGGGCTCCAAGGAGGAGGAGTGTGCAAGCCGTCATCACCGGCCATGACCCCCTCCAGCTCCTTCTTCACTACCACCACCAGCAGCAGCAGCAGGACGAAGAAGAAAAGGGAGGGAGCTTTGGCGACCGCCTAGCGGGGGGGGGGAGGAGGGCACAAAAATTTTTTAAAGCCTCCCAGAATCGCCTTGCCAAAGGAGAAAAGCCCGCATTGGTACCCATGAAATTAAACAGAACTGGGCGGGGCCCCCACAGGTGCGTGCATGTACACACACACATGCACGGAGGTCCAGCAGCCTTCCTCTGAGAGCCCCCCCTCAAAAAAAGGCACACTCAGGTGGGCAGGCTGGCAGGCTGCAGTTCCAGATGGAGGGTGCAAGAGGCACTGTCTTCAAAGACAGCCGGTGAGTGAGGCTTGGCTTTTTTTTACTCTTGACAGCAGAGGATGTGTGGGCACTTCAGGGGGACAGGCAAGGCAGGGGCTACAAACTATCATCCGGTGGGCCACAAATGGGCCCCGGGCCACATGTTTGAGACCCCTGATTTAAAGATATATTTCTAAAATTTAGAGACAGTAGATATATTAACAATGTTAATACAAATCTGTTAGTCACACAATGTACATCTTTATTTCAGGGTGTAGATCCTTAATGAGGGAGTATCCTGCATGTGGAATGCTTAATAATTGAAGATTAAGTTGGCATTACTCCCATAGGTAGAACTACTATACTTAAGAGGTGATTGCCTAGAGATGGGCATGAATCACCACTTCAGTGGTTCATTTTTTGACTGAACAGGTATTTGGCAGTTCCCAGCCCTGCCGCCTCTGGTGGGCATCCACTCAGAAGCCCTGCCCTGCCTCCTCTTGGCACTGCTTCTGAGTGGGCGCCAGCTGTAGGAGGCAAGGCTAGGAGCCAATGAACACCTGTTTGGCTGAAAAAACAAACTGACACAAACCATCGAATCAATAGTTGATTGATTCGATGCCCATCTGTATGCCTAGTCTTTTCTCACTCAATTGGTGTGTTCTCTATGTAGGAAGCAAAGTATATACAGAGTCTACACATGATTAGGAACATCCCTTCTTCAGACCCTTTGCTTTCCAAGTGGTGCCAGTGATGATAAAGAGGAAGGGTCTGGCACTCTCCTCTTAAGTATTGTGATTTATCCATTTAAGGAACATCTAAATAAGGGTTATGACTGGACATACAGCATGGGCCTAGAGATTCTGGTGGTATAGTTACACTAAGACTGAACAGTAAGTGAATTATGATGTCATTTGACATCACCCATCCTCCTAGCTGGCTTTTTCACTTTGTGTAATGTGAGCTGCAAGCACATTTGCAGAGTGGGTTTTATTTCCCACCCCCAGTCCATACTGAATTAGTTCTCATTGAAACAAACTACCAAGGTAGAATTCAGGAACGTCTCAGGTTTTGCACCAGCTTGAGGGAAGGAGAATTCAGCCAGGAGAAAGATTTCAGCAAGGTGTAAAGACTTAGATACAAAGGCTAATTCAATAGCTTTTCCTGTGAAGCAGCTGAAAAGTAGATGCTGTGTACCTGTTATTGTGATACACTCCATATGCAACACAACTTGAATGTATAATGCAAATTGATTTTTAGCCATTATAAAGAGTGCTACTTCAGGTGAGTCAATGCACAGTAAACAACATGCTGTTATTGAATGTGTAATAGGAGAAAAATAGGAGAAAAAAACCTCTATTGCTGAAAATCATGTATGAACAGTTTATGCCAGTAAATGCATTAGTGAAACACTCATGAATGATATAATTCAGACTGTCACATAATCCAAGAACTCACTGCTATTTTAATCCTAGCCCTGACCGTTTCTGTGGTCCTAATCTCAAATCTTGTTATTTCCACTTCTCAAAGTGGGATCTACAAGGCAACTCTTAAGATGATGCAGTGAAGACAGAAGTTAAGCAATGGCAAAAAGCTACAGAGAGTTGGTATTTCTAGGTGATAGAATGAAGAAATAGCTTTACATTGTACTGTAGGGAAGAGGGAGGTATTTTGAACAATAAGACACCACCTGTAAAAGGAAATGCTTAAGTATGTTTGCTTTTTATTTTTTTTAAAATCTGGTTATTGGCCAAAAGACAAAACGTTTCAGCTAATTCTTGTACCTTCAAGTTAAACTGGCAGGAAAGCAGTATGCTATAAAAGTGTTGTGTGTAACAGTGTGTACTTTGTCAAATCTTGATTACAGTACTATTCTTGGTACAAAATAACCCTCTTTCAAACCTATTTATTTATAAATACATAGGTGGATTCATTCCTTTTAACTTCACTAGTGTTCAGAAGCAAAACAGTGACTATCTCCTGCCATTTTCTATGAATGTGAGTTAGTGGTCCTTGATGGGGGAACAACTTGATTGACTGATGGTTGTCAGCCATGATAGCTAAATGAAACTTCCACATTCAGAGGAAGTTTACCTCTGAAGACTAGCTGTTCTAGAAAGCAAATATGAGGAGTGGGCTGTTGCCTTCTTATGAACTTCCCAGAAGCATCTGGCTTCCCCTTGGTCTGATCATGTAGGACTTTTGTATTTTTGTAGGGGAGAAGAGCAAAAGAAAGCAGCAGAGCTCAGCATGATAAAGTGAAGAACAATGGTGAGTTTTACTCTCCTCTTTTTTATACTGTGTATGGGCATGAGCAAAAGGTAACTCCCTCTTCATATACAACATGCACACACATTCACAAGATATGCAAATACCTGTTCAGTTTGGCTCGTTTGCTATTATATTCCTTTCTGTCATTCTTTCTCAGTGTGTAAAGCTGTATGTAAACAATATTTTCCCTCCTACACCACCTGTACTCTCTACTCCCACAAGAATTGTTCTGACAGAGGATGCATACATTAGCTATCTTTAATCTCTTACAAAAGAATCCAAAAATTTAAAATAACATTGTGAATTCTGTTTGGTAGAATGTAATATATCCAAACCAAGCTTGATCAGGAACATAGTTGAACATTTACACTATATTCTTGCAATATGACAGATGTATTTTACTCCCTTTATTGTCCATTTAGAAAACACTTTTTATAAACACCAACCATTTGGTTAGATGGCTGCAATTAAATCTGTGCCCACTCTACTATTTCGTGTCGTAAGAAACCCAGTTGCTGGGAAACATATTCCACTGCCCCGCCAAATTACTGCATCAAAATAACTTCCATGGCATAATGCTAACAACTGCATACAGGTCCTATTCACAAAGATCATAAATTCTATTACAGCTACCATGTGAAATTCTTCTCCTGATTTTGAATCATAAGAACCCCCTAGCACCACAACTTGGACATACTTTGTCCTTTTGGCAACATGGAGCAGCCAAGATCTAGCATGATAATCTAGTGCAGAAGTGGGAATGTCTGCCTCTCCAGACATTTGAGACTATAACTGCTATATTCCTTTAACATTATTCACACAGAGTAGGTTGGATGGGAGTTGCAGGTGAAGCATGTGGAGGACCAAAGGTTTCTGTGATGTTAAGTCATGCAATGACAAAGCTCACAGCTTCAATAACATGTTGGAAAAGGGGGGAAATGTGCAAGGGGAAAAGCTAAATAAATTTTAATCAGTGATAATTGAGAATGCAAATTAAGACCATTCACACTTAAGAGGTAGGGGGGGTGACAGAATCCTATTATGCTTAGGCCAGTCATAATCTTGGTCCCATGTTTAATCATGTGCCTAATGGCACGATCAAGATGCATCCTGTTACTTCTTCAGTTTGCCACAGCAAGTTACACAAACACCAACAAGACCTGGTCACTGTCACATAATCACCAAAACAGAATACCATTCCCAAAACCGCATGTCAACTTCCACTCAAAAATTTCTGAAAATTACATGCAGCTTGGTTTCCATTAGGCACATGATTAAACGCGGGACCAAGAAGATGACTGGCCTAAGCATAAAAGGATTGTCACTCCACCCACCTCTTAAGTGTGAATGGTCTTAACTTGCATTCTTTGGGGGCAAGATGATGACTGGCCTAAGCATAAAAGGATTCTGTCACCCCTCCCTACCTCTTTTAAGTGTGAATGGTCTCAATTTGCATTCTAAGATCATAGCCACTGGTCCCATCAAAGATCATGGACGCTGGTCCTGTCACCTCCTGGCAAATAGAAGGGGAAGATATGGAAGCAGTGACACATTTTACTTTCTTGGGCTCCATGATCACTGCAGATTTATTTATTTATTTGATTTGATTTATATCCCGCCCATCTGGTCTGGTCGACCAGCAACCACGAAATAGATGGTGACAGCAGCCATGAAATTAAAAGACGCTTGCTTCTTGGGAGAAAAGTAATGACAAACCTAGATAGCATATTAAAAAGCAGAGACATCACCTTGCCGACAAAGGTCCGGAAAGTAAACGCTATGGTTTTTCCAGTAGCGATGTATGGAAGTGAGAGCTGGCCCATAAAGAAGGCTGATCACCGAAGAATTGATGCTTTTGAATTGTGTTGCTGGATGAGACTCTTGAGAGTCCCCTGGACTGCAGAGAACAAACCTATCCATTTTGAAAGAAATCAACCCTCAGGCTCACTGGAAGGACAGATCCTGAAGCTGAGGCTCCAATACTTTGGCCATCTCATGAGAAGACTCCCTGGAAAAGACCCTGATGTTGGGAAAGTGTGAAGGCAAGAGGAATAAGGGATAACAGAGGACGAGATGGTTGGACAGTGTCATCAAAGCTACCAGCATGAATTTGACCCAACTCTGGGAGGCAGTGGAAGACAGGAGGGCCTGGCGTGCTCTGGTCCATGGGGTCACGAAGAGTCGGAGGCAACTTAACAACTAAACAACAACAAAGATTCCCGACTTGACTAGAAAGTCCAAACTTTGACTCTTACATTGGAGCTATGTACGTATATAAATAGGATAATTAACACAGTGTTTTTAGACTTGGCAGTTATACATGTCTTGGTAATTACACATGGCGATTTACATTCCTTAAAAGAAGTGGGCAGGCAATCATCAGCTGCTCATCATCAGTAACATCCCGAGCCGTGTGCCATTTTAAATGCGTAGTAATTGGTACCTGTAAGGATCCCCCTCCCACTGCTGGGACAAAATCCTTCCTCGACTTTTCAGGAGGTCGTGGGGACCACGGTACCCTGTGGCGAGCCAGGCTCGTCTGATTTTTGTAAACAAGCGAAGAAAGTCGACGGAAGGGAGATGACCGCCTTTCTTTCCTCTTTCCACCGAGCTCGGACGACCCCTCCAACCCTTGCGGCTCGCACCGGGATCCTCCCGCGCCTGACGAAAAGGAACCGCCCCTGAGATCAGCAAATCTCACCCCTGGCTGGCTAGCCTTCCGAAGGCCCCGGCCAGTAAGGACAGCCCGCAGCGCCTCCTTGTTTCTTTTCTTACAGGATATTATGAGGGAAGGAAGGGGAAAAAAAACCCAACCACCCTGGAGCCAAAGGCGGCCGAATCTCCCACAGCCCGTTACTCCGGGCCTCCGGCGGAGGCGGGACTTTGGAGGCACCTCCTGCGCTCAAAATGGCCGCCCTCCTTTCGCGGAAGCGGTGGAAGGCCGGCTACCGCCTCTTCCGCTCGCTACGGGGGCGGGCCGGGGCGGGGCGGTTGCTGGCTGGCTTTGCCTTTGGCCGGGGCGACCTGTCGGTGGCGGCAGCAGGAGCAGCAGCCGGAGGGACCGCTGCGTGGTGTGTGTGATGGGGAAGGCACGGCGACGCGGGAGACGAAGCCCTTTGCCTCGGACCCCCTGTGGCAACACGTAGTGGGCCGGGCGCCTTGCCCGCCAGGTGAGGAGGAGGAGGAGGAGGACTTGCTCTGGTAGTTGAGGAAGAAGGGCTGGGCTCCCGGGGCGGTTCCGGCTCTGAAAGTAAAGGCTTTTCGGTTTAAAAGGTGAGCAGAACCGAGATTGGCTTGTGGGGGCAGTCAGGCCATTGCGAGGACTCCACCACTTATCATAAGCTCTGTGTACCAAAGGGGGGGGAGGGAAGAAGAGCTTCCATGTTCAGGAGCAGCCTGCTTTTTGCATACGAGTGGCTTCTTTTTGGAGGGCCATATAGGTGGGGCGGCAGCGTTTGTCCGGCTCCAGAGTGTCTGGCTGCTGGTTGTTGGCAACACGATCTTGGGCGAGACGCCTCTCTCGACTCCCCTGGCAGGACAGTCTCAACTTACAGAAATGTGTACAACGGGCATCTTTTAAGTATCAGCCGTGGTAGGTGAGTGGAGCCTCCATTTGCAGAGATGGTCTACCCTTGGCTATCAGTTGCTAGGCACTGATAAGGCGTGGCTTTAGCTTTGATGCCCTGCTTGTGGGTTTGTCAAGGGCATTGTCTCTATTGTTAGGAGACTGTTAGGTTAAATAGATCCTTAAATTCAGGTCTTGATCTGAGTTAGGGAAAAGCCTTCTCCTCACTTGCTCCGTGCTAGCATGGCTACACGTTGTCAATAAACTTTATTAAAAACTTCCGTGTTCCTGTGTGGAGGCAATCTTTTCTGAACATCATCTTCAGGGAACAAACAAGTGGAGAAGGTCACCAGAGTGCTTTCCCTGTGAGCTTCACAGGAGGGCATCTGGCTGCTTGTTGAATACTGGATCTTTTGTATGATGCTCAGTGGGATGGGAGAGTGTGAATGAGCCAAGCATCTTTGGGAATGAGTAAGTGAAATTCTTCTGTGGAAAGCATATATCTTCAAGAATGTTCTAGATTGGGATGGAGAACCTGTAGTCTTCCATGTATAGTAGTTGGTAAATAACTGCTCCTGTCATCCAGTAACCATTGAACAGTCTGGCCAGTGCTGATTGGAAGTAACATCTGACAGCCTCTGGAGGGTTGCCGGTTTCCTCAGCTCGTTTCTACATGAACAAGAGGCATTTGTTAACCATCATAATCTCACACTAGGAATCAGTGTCTGAGGTGTTCTGCTATTCCACATCATGTGCTTGAAATCACTTGTCCACATTTTTGTACTGGTCCTGGAGAGCTATTCATGACCATCTGAAGTAATGTGGGTTAGAACCAAATTGTAAATTATGTTAATTCATGGTTCAGCTTTGCATGAATTTGTTCTCAGCAGCTGGGGAGAAGATCTTGCTAAGAACTGGAGCTGTACAAAGTGTATGTGTCTGTGTGTTTAAATTTCCACCCCATACGCCTGTGATGACTCTTCTAGGCTACTTGGTACAGGAAGGAAGCTACCATTGGTGCCAATGGCCAACATTGTTTCTCGTGGAAGTGCCACCTTAAAAACATTCTGAATCATTATATGCTGTGTTGTCAGACTGGTGACATGGCCTAATTCTTTTAATTCTTCTATTCTTGTAAAATAATAATAATAGACAAAAAGAAGCTTTTATTATCTGAGCTTAGAAACATTCATAGGCATCAGTGTTGTCCTACAGAAGACAATTGAAAACATGTTTGTCAGAGAGAGAGCTAGGAAAATAATTAAGGAGTGCAATAAAACTAAATTTACCACTGAACTCTGTAATAGTACCTCACAGTACACATGTGGCAGCCCTGTGTGCACGGTTAGGGAAGTTTAGTCCTGTTGAACTGGATGGACCTCAGTTAGTTAATATGAAGGCTTCATAAAAAAGTTACAGAAACTTTGCTGTGCCG